CAAAATAAATAAATGGGGCCCCATAAAAACTAAAAACTGCTGTTCATCAAAAGACTGGGGGAATATCTTTGGAAACCATATTACAATGGAACACTACTTAGCCAGTTGTTGTTGTTGTTAAATGCCTTTGAGTCAGTAACAACTCATAGTGACCCTGCATAGGGTTTCCAAGGAGTGGCTGGTGGGTTTGAACTGCCAACCTTGCAGTTCAAACTGATTTTGCAGTCCAGTGCTGATCCTACAGCACCAGGAGAAATGAAAACATGATACATGCTAGCTACAGTTGCATAGTTTGAAGACATGATGCTGAGCACAATATGTCAGTCACAAAGGGACAAATATTGTAATCACTCACATAAAATGACAAGAAACGGGAAATGTACAGAGAGCAATGTATATTAGTGGTTCTCAGAGTCAACAGGGATGGGGGAGGAAGGTTAATAGGGATGGGAAAACTGCAGTGATTCAGGGTAGAATTGCACAGCCAATCACTGTAATTGCCATCAACAAGTTATATACCTGTGAAAAATTAACCTGCGTGACAGATATATTTACAACAGTGATTAAAAAAAGAAGAGTACGTGCTGTGGCTGCTTATATACAACCAAACAACCTCACATACAACCAAACACCTCACATACAACCGAACACCTCACATACAACCAAATACCTCATGGGACTTGGTTCCTTGTTTTGCAGGTTTAGGGTGACGGCTTCATAATACATTTCAGTAATTTAGTGCTTCTGTTCTACCTCCTAGTTCATTGTTTAGTGCCTGGGATCTTAAAAGCTAACAAGTGACCATCCAAAACTTATCATTGGCTTCTGTTCTCCTGGAGCAACAGAGGAAGGCGAGTCATGAATAGGTGGAAGATGTGGAATGTGTGGCTAATTGCCTCCATGAACGGCTGCCTCCTTTGCCAAGAGACCCGAACTGAACAGTGCCCAGCTACCATTACTGAACATTTTGATCAAAGATATCATAGAAAAGTTCTGATCAAAAGAACGGAAATTCAAAACAGAATTTCAAATTCTCATGGAATTCCAGACTTTCTAGAGCCATGAAGGGTGAGTAAACCCCTAAAACTACTACCCTGAGATAATCCTTAAACCTTACACCAAAAATAGCCCTTGTTGTTAAGTGCCATCAAGTTGGTTCACAGTAACACTGTATAGGGTTTTGAAGGAGTGGCTGGTGGGTTTGAACTGCCGACCTTGTAGTTAGCAGTCCAATGTGGCACTGTAGGATAAGCACTGGACTGCAAACCACAAGGTTGGCCGTTCAAATCCACCAGGTACTCTTAGGAAATCCTATACAACAGGGTCATTATGAGTTGGAACTGACTTGACAGCGCTTAACAACAAAATAGCCCCTAAAATTTCTTAAAACCAAACAATATAGTTACACTACTAAAAAAGGCTTGCCTTGAGCAGCATGCTCTTTTGAAAACTATCTATAGAGGATCAAATTAACAAGAGCAACTCAAGGTACAAGATAGGAGCACTGGGGGCAGTGGACTTCTGTATAGAGGAGCGACTCAGAAAAGGAGCAGGAGAATAGTACAACTGAAAGAATGTCATCAATGTCACTAAATGGTTCATGTAGAAACCGCTGCATATATTTTGCTGTGTATATTCTCAACAATAATAGAATACATTAAATTTACAGGAAAAAATGAGCATTTCCAGAGGAACAGGGGGAGGGAAGAGAGAACAGATGGATCTCAGGGCATTTTTAGGGCAGTGAAACTATTCTGTATGATCCTTTAATAGTGGTCACATAACATTATACTTTGTCAAAAACCAATAGGACTGTACAACACAACGGGAGAACCCTAAATTAAACTATAAACTTTAATTATAATGCATCAATATCAATTCATCAATGCCAACATATACACAGAAATGGTCAAAGATGTTAGTAACACAGAAACCATATGCAGGGAAAATGAGCAAACAGTGTGCCCACGGGAATTCCCTATATGTTGTTCAATTTTTCTGTAAACCTAAAACTGCTTTGAAAAAAAAATCTCTATGAAAAATTAAAAATAAATTACATTTTTTTAATTTTGAGAGTTAAGATTTTGCTATCTTACTTAGAATTGACAAAAAGTGGCAAGTAGGTTAAAGCTTACATTCAATGTGTTTTTATATAAACATGTAGCTTAGCAATACAGGAATTTTAGGACTGAAGTCTCCAATGGCATGTACCCAAGTCCGTCCAAAGCTAGAGTCCAATAAAGACTACCATGGTCACACTGTGCTGAGTGACACCCAGTCAGATAAAATCAGTGACTATGTTCTTCTAGAGTCATACTTGGGAAATACATGAAGACTTTCAGCAAAAGACTTCAGCATCTGCTAGAAAATTCAATTCCAACATTTTGTAAAGCCTTGGTCATAGCAGTAACTGCCATACAATAACAAACTCGTGGCTCAGATAGAATACTGTCTCTCTCAAGACCGCATGCTTCATGGGCATTACCCAAGACTGGGTGGATACAACCAATAGCCCAGGCAAACAATCCTAGAAGTAGAATGACTCATCTGGGTCACTCTTGTGGTGTCAATACATGACGTGGCCAGAGAAAATGGAAGGCATAGCAGATATGACCTCTTTGCAATATAAGAATGATTTTGCCAAGTTGTGAGACTTGTTTGGGAGGGAATATGATCCTGCAGTGCTCCAGATTCTGAGGGCAGTTCTCTGCGTTGTATGCTATATGAAAACCAATTTGGGACCCACTCTCCAGCCCCATCATTATAACTATCTCTCCATAGTCTCCAGACTGTCTTCTTACTGTTGTTTCAGTGTTTAGCAGAGCTAAACTTCTACTATTTCTATACAAGTATACAGAGTAGCTGGACTTCAGTTTCCTAATGACATAGTCAGAAAGACAAGCCCAGGAGGAAACACACAAGCCACAGCAAACACAAACCCAGCCTGGGCTCACATGAAAGAATGCTGGCTGGGGTCCTTGCTGCTGACATCTGGTTATATCCTTTACCAAGGGCCCATGTTGTTGTTGTTGTTAAGGGCCATCGAGTCAGCTCTGACCCATAGCGACCCTATATAGATAGGGTTTCCAAGGAGTGACTGTTGAGCTTGAACTGCCAACCTTGCAGTTCAAACGGCTTTGCAGTCTGGAGCATTAACCCACAGTGCCACACCAGGACTCCATGGTAACTGGAAATTCTGAGGTATTAACCACAAGACACTGGGATCTTTCTAAGGAAGCTTAAATAAGCTAACATCTATAGAAGTCAAGGAGACGGAGGTGAAAATGCCTCTAGGAAGTTTAGAAAGGGGTACCCACAAGAGGGTGTGACCACAGATCTTCTGAGGTAAGTAGAGCCTGGCATCCTAAAAGTTCAGACAACAACGGTGTCTCAAGCTTCTATCAGAGGACACTTCTACTTCCAGAGACACAACCTCAAGAATGTTTTTATTTCGTCCACTTTTCCTCATCAGTACCCTAACAATAAAGGCAGTAATCATATGAAGAATGGCAGGAAACATGAGAAAATTCATCTCAAAAGACTTATGAATCAGTGGCTAATTTGCATCATCAATTATTAATGGTGAATAAGTACCAACATGGTAATTATAACCATAGGTGCTCTAGGAGTGGTAGACTCATGCTAACCAGAGCCAGCAGTCTGCAGTCCAAAATATGACATTCTAGTTCCTGAATCTAGTTCAACATTTGGCTTCTGGGGAGAAATGAGTTTAGCCATTTAGAGTCAGAGTACTTCATGATTTAACTAAATATTGAAAATATTACAGGCCTTGTGAGTGCAGGCCTTGTGATCTCATTATGTAAAAAGGGATCACTTGTATTCACAGAAACATCCACCACCACAGTGTAAGTAAGCAAGAACTGTACTTACTATCACATAAATTTTCCCAAAAGTATCTTTATTGCATCAAGTTGAGGGCAGTACACCATTAGAATGCATAATCATGACCCTTGGGTCAGTTAAGCATCCTGTATGAAACACTACTTCTCTCAGAATACGGACTGTGACATATCTGGTGATCAATCTATACCTATGTGCTTGGAGCCATTCCTTCCTAAAACTTCTTCAGACCACGTTTTTGCCCTGCAGTTTTATTTTTTCAGGAAAAACCAAAGTTATTAATATCCACACTGCAAATGTTAAAGCTTCTCCAGTATATGGGTGACTTAACAATTAACCAGTTAATCGTATTAACAGAGAAGTTGGGCAGAATAATTGGGAACACATTGTAAATAACTTGGCCTGATCATTCAATTGGGATAAAGTATTCCTATAAATTTTCATTTCCTTTCATTTTGTACATCATTTCAGGCTAAACATGATGTTCTCAAAGAATCAAAAGAATTTATCTATGATTTATCTTTGAGATTTGTTTTAAATCTATTCAAAAAGTTATTTTAATAGAATCATAACAACTAATGTCATGTGTAAGCTGTATTGGATCCTGGACCAGAATTTTTTTGGGGGGATGAGGGAACGGGGAACTAAACAGATATTACTAACATAACTGGTAAACTAAGAATATGATCTGGAGATGGGATGATAATATCGTGTCCATGTGAATTTCCTGACTTTGATAACTACTTTAGTCACATGGAGTTCTTTATGCAATTCAAACTTTGCTAGTAGTCAGGAGTGATTCAAAAAAAAAAAAAAAAAATAAAAAAAAAAAAAAAAAAGTACCAAAAAACTTAAAGCTGTTCTGATAACTCATTCATAACAATCCTATACTTTAAAACAAAGCCAAATTAATATGATACAATAAATAGTATATCTCAATTAATTTTAATATTAGTCTGGCATTACTAACCAAGAAAATATTACTTGAGATTTATTGAATTATTGAATCTCAAGATTAAAGGAAACAGACCAAAATATCTTAACATCCATATTTACCAAGGGAACACCATAAGAAATTAAACAATATAAAAATAAGCCAAGTACAAAGCATGAATCATGCACAGAAGAGTTTGTTATACCTTGAATTGCTGTTGATCTCTATCCAGCCCAGTTTCCATGACACATGAAGCAAAAGTCCACCAATTAACGTCTGCCACCTGCAATGAATAAGTACTAGCATGAACTTTAATAGAGTGCTATGTTCTAAAACAAAGAGCTCTGGTAGCGTAGTGGTTACGAATCGGGCTGTGAACCACAAGGTCAGCAGTTTGAAACTACCAGCTGTTCCACGGGAGAAAGATGAGGCTTTCTGCTCCCGTAAAGATATGCAGCCTCAGAAACACTGTACAGGGTAGCTATGAGTCGGTTCCGACTCCACAGCACATAACCACTACTACCATGTTCTAAAACACTATGCAGTCCCCGCAGATTTGCTGACACAGACACACTCTCAATCCATCATAAAACAGTTTTCTCCCGTTCTCTCCTAACTGTGATTCCATTTCTCAAACCTTTCCTTCTCAATCTTTACTACTTATTGTGTCTAGCTGTTTCATTGGGAGCTGACACTGATGCTCTTGTCTTCTGACTCCAGACTTTCTGAATCATCATACCCAAAGCCACTGCTTCTCCCAATGACTCTGCATTTACTCTGATACCCACAAGTTCCAATTATAATGTAACTAAAACACTAACTTGAACTTCCCCCTTCCTATCCTGATCATCATCCTAATATTCTTAATCACCCAAACTAGAAATTAAACAACTGGGTCTTAAAAGCTGTGAGAAGCCACCCAAGCTACAACTGTTGGTCTTTCGTCCATCCAGAACAAAGAAGAGAGAAGAAAATCAAAGACGCGTGGACACAATTGGCCTAAATGACTAATGGACTATGAGAACCTCAGCCTCCACAACCCACAGACCAAAAGAACTAGATGGTGCTCCATTACCAACTGCTGGAGTCAGTTCCAACTCACAGCAACCCTGTACAGGGTTTCCGAGGCTGTAAATCTTTACAGGAGCAGAATGCCTCATCTTTCTCCCATGGAACAGCTGGGAGTTTCGAACTGCTAATCTTGAGGTTAGCAGCCCAATTCGTAAAAAAAAAAAAAAAAAATACCAGGCTGACTGGTTTGACAGACGTGGGTAGAACCCCCAGACTATGACCCTTAGTTACCCCTCAGGCCTAGAACTGACCTCACCCCCATGACTCAGTTTTTAGCCCCAAATCAGACAGGTCTACAAGGGTCACGATAACACTAGGGGAGAATAGCACTCCTTAGAACAATTCACCACTAGAGATCCAAAGGGCAGCATTTGTCCAAGGACAAAGTTCAGAAGGCAGGAAGGCTTAGGAAAGCGGGAGGAGTGGAAACTGGGAGCACAGGGCAGAACTCGGATGAGTAATGTTAGATGGTGGGGATTACAATCAGTGACACGAAATTAAATGTGTATGAACTAGAAAAGTAATTTACTCTATAAACCTTCACCCACTTCACAATATGAAGTTAAAAAAAAGAAGAAGAAGTAAGAGAGAAACCTAAATGTTATCCTAGCCCTTCCTCCTTACCCACCTCCTCCATTTGGTCACAAAATCATACTGACTTTCCCTGCAATACAAGCTTTCAAATCTGAAAACAGATAGTGGCTAATGGTGTGTATAATATAGGGTGTCAAAAAACAGTACACTTTAAAATGGCTAAAATATCTTACACCACAGTAAAATTAACCAAAACAAAATAGTGAATTCTTCCCCTTGCCCAGGCAGCAGATGTGAATCTCTTTTCTGGGACCAGGAGGGTCATGTGAGACTTTCCCTCAGCCCACAGAGTTCTGAGGTCTCAGGAAGGGCAGCACCGGTTACAAACACCCTACTCCTTCTACTCCAGAAACATAGCCCAGTGCCAAATGAGGGAAGCATCGATTTATACGCATAAGACATATAAGTTTATTCTGTTCCACCCTACCTTTTTCATTTTAGGTGGATCACTCATAAATTTCAAAACTTTATTTTCAGTTCTAAATGGCTTGTAACACTTCAGTGGGGCAGTAATTACAACAGTCATGTTGCGACACTACAGTTGAGAGTCCCTGGCTTGCAGCATAAAGCCATGGGTGTATCTGTAACACTCAGCCATCCGTGACGTACACCGGCCTCTCTGCGGGATCCTGTCCATCTGCTATGGGCAGCCACACTGAACACCTACAGCCTCTGCAATGTGTCAGCCATTCCATACTTCCAAGAGTTTGCACATTCTAGGATGAGCACTGAACTGCTAAACACAAGGTGGGCAATTCAAACCCACCAACAACTTCGTGGAGAAAAGATAAGGCTGTCTGCCCTTGCAGAGATTACAGCCTCGGAAAGCCTATGGGGCAGTTCTACTCTGTACTCTAGGCCTGCCAGGAGTCAGAACCAGTTGCTTTGAGTTTCCTTTGGGGTTTCATCCTCCTGGCTCACAGTGCTCTCCCTACCTCCAAGGTGTTGGCAAACACTGCTCATCCTTTAAGACCCCAGTTTTCGGTTTCTTTTGTAAAACCTCACTGACCCAGCGAAGCAGAGTTCATAGTCCCTTCAAAGTGCTATGTCTATGATGATGTGCTTCTTACATCATCAAAATACTTACCATGCCACACTGCAGTTATTTACTTACCTTTATCTAGATTGCAAAATCCTTTAGAATGAGAAGACTTATACTTAGAACGTAGAAGGCACTCAAGAAAATGATTGCTGAATGAGGGGATGGATGAGTAAATTGATGAATAAACTGGATTACTCTCCAAGCCTAAAGCATATTACAAAAGCAGGAACAACTGAGACTCTTTATAATCTCGAATTTGTAGGGAAATACTGGATCTCTGAAACCCAGAGACATGCATTTTTATCACAAGAGCAAGTTTTCATCCAGAAGTGGTAAGAAGGGAAATTTAGCTATAGATTGCATTTGCAATTGCAATATAGATGCTATTACATATTTTGTAAACAGTCATCTGTTTACATAAGGCTATGTGGCCAGAGCAATAGTGTTATCCTCGGTTACTTGAATCTGTATAATTCTCAACGTTGTTTTTCACACTTTTTCTATCTAGCACACAGAACACATCCCCAGCATTTGCTGCATACCTGTTGTGAAGAACATGACGTCAATGTTCTCTTTGAACAATTTTGAGTCTCCCCTCCCCTGAGAGTCTCAGAAATAGACCTTTGAAAAATACACCCAAGTCATGGTTTCTAGAAACTTCTACCAGTCAAAAACAAGCTCTCAGCAACTTAGGCATTGGCTACCTAAAATGGGAGTTGGGTGCAGGGGAGACTATAAAGGCACAAAGTGACTGGCTTACAAGTTTTCAAGAGGGAGTTTAGTTTCAGAGTGTGCAAGGGAAGGTAGAATCCCCACTGAATAGTTTTTATCTTGTCTAGACAAGTCTGGTGAAAGGAGATGGGGATAAGATTTTTATGATTCACTAGTGAGTCATTGTTATGATGACTAACTGTGATTGCCACAACTGTAAATGTAGAAGTTTTGTAGCATGGGGAGGAGTAGTTAATCTTACAGCTCAAGAACAGAGGACCCTAGGGCCATCAAGGGAGAAGAGCACAGTGGAATGTGGGACCCTATCTAGAGAAGCAGAGATACCAGAGATGGAGGCAGAGATGATAACATGGAGCGATAGAGCAGTTGAGGACTCTAGGCTCATGGAAAGAGAAAGGTTGTGTGCTGGTGGCCAGGAGGCAGGCTTGCAGAATGTGTCCTTTGGTTGTTTAAATGATTATATATTGCTGAGAGTTTTGGTATACACCACCCCCTTCCCTCACCCCCCCTCAAAAAAGCCCTGAGGCCATATAAGGAATTGAATAACAATATAACCATTTATTTACCACTATTCACTGACAGCAGTAAAAAGATGAGGCTTTCTACTCCAGCAAAAATTTACCACCTTTGAAACCTTGTAGAGGGCCACTCTAAGTTGGAATCGACTCCTTGGTACTTAACAACAATTTTTTAAGCCAGGGAGCCTTAGTGAAACCGTAGTTACTCATTTAGCTGCTAACTAAAAGGTAGGTGGCTTGAACCCACCAGCCACTCCATGAAAGGAAGAGGGGACCGTATATTTCCAGAATAATTCCAGCCTTGGAAACCCTATGAAGCAGTTCTACCCTGTCTGTAGGACCGCAACGAGTCAGAATCAACTGAATGGACGACAAAGGCTTCATTCATTGAGCAGTGAGTAGGTGGCAGGAACTGTGCTAGGAAAGGGACACAGGAACAGGTAGACTTGGTCACGCTTGCTAAAGAGTGCTTGGTCACGCACTAAAGAGTGCTTCTCAAATTTCAACTCCCCCCGCCCCCACCGAGGGACACATGGCAATGTGTGGAGACATTTTTGTTGTCACAACAGGGGTACAAATGGCTAAGCACTCAGCTGCTAACTGAAAGGCTGACATTTCAAACCCACCCAGGAAGAAACACCTGGTAATCTGCTTCCATGAAGACTGCAGCCAAGAAAACCTATGTGGCAATTCTTCTCTGTCCCAGGGGGTCACTGTGAGTCCCAAACAGCACGGCAGCACCCATCACACCTGGTATGAAGCAGCCAGGGATACTGCCAAACGTCCCTGACAACAAAGAATTATCCAACTCGAAAATTCAGTTTGATTTATTGTTGTTGTTGTCGTTAGGTGACATCAAGTTGCTACCAATTCACAGCAATCCATGCATAACAGAACAAAACACAGCCAAGTCCTGGACTAACCTCACAATCATTGCTACACCTGAACCCATTGCTTCTGTCACCGTGCCACTGTGTCTTCCTCTTTTTTCTCCAACCCTCTACTTTACCAACATGATATCCTTCTCCAGTAACTGGTCGCTCCTGATAATATGTGAGAAGTATGAAAGACAAAGTTTGGCCATCCTGGCCTCCAAGGAGCACTCTGTCTGTACTTCTCCCAACACAGATCTGTTGGTTCTTTTGGCAGCCCATGGCACTTTCAATATTCTCCTCCAACACCATAACTCAAAAGCATCAATTCTTCTACAGTCTTCCTTACTCACAGTCCAACTTTCACATGTACATGAGGTTATTGAAAATTCTATAGCTTTGGTCAGGTGCACCTTAGTCCTCAAGCTGACATCTTTGCTCTTCAACACTCTACAGAGAAGTCTTGTGCAGTAGAGGCAATCGTTCAGTTTGGTAGAGATTGAGAAACACTGGTCTAGTAGGAAGTAAGATAATTAACCAATAATGACAATAAAATGTGATAAAGCCTAAAAAGGAAGAGTGCCAGGTACTAAACTAATCCGGTGGGTTAGGTAAGACTTCCTAGAGGAAGTAAATTTGAACAACAACAGAAAAAAAAACATGACGTGTTCAAAACAGAATGGACTAAAGTCCCAAGGTGAGTTTGAACTCCATAACTTGTGATGAGCAGCCCAATGCCTGACCCATTGAAAAGTCCAATTGTTGAGCAGCCCAATGCCTGACCCATTGAAAAGTCCAATTGTTGCGTATGTTAGCATTTGAGCATTCCATGGGGAGTGGCTGACACTGGAGAGAAGGATTGGTCATAAAAGGCCATGTCACCTGCATTAAGGAGCTGAGACTTCAAATTGGGAACCATTTAAGGGGTTCAAATGTGGGAGCAACATTCACATGTATGAGTACATTTTGAAAAGCCCTCTCTTCCAAAAAGAGAGGAAGTTTTTGAGAGCAGCAAGGCTAGTAGAAAGGAAGCAAGTTAGGATACAGTAACTTGGAGATGACCGGGACTTGGGAAGGAGTAGTGAGAACGAAGGTGGGAAGATTCCAAAGGTAGTTAGGAGGGTCTATCGACTGTTGTGGAGTCCTGGTGTAGCACTGTAGGATAAGCACTTGGACTGCTCACCTCAAGGTTGGTGGTTCAAACCCCACCAGTTGCTCCTTAGGAACCCTATACACAGATGCTGTGAGTTGGAACCAACTCTATGGCACTTAACAACATGATTCCTTGAAGGAGCCCTGGTGGTGCCTGTGGATTAGACATTGGATGCTAACCAACAGGCCAGTGGTTCAAACCCAACAACCACTCCACAGGAGAAAGATATAAAGATTTGTCTGTCGTGTTCCCATAAAGATTTGTAGTCTCAGAAACACTACATAGAGTCACTATGAATGGAATGAACATGGCAGCAGTGGGTTTGGTGTTTTGGGGAGGTGATCCCCAGAAGGAGTTCGGGTGACACGGTAGGTTAAGCATTGATCTGCTAACTGCAAGGTTGGCGGTTCAAACCCGCCAGCCTCTCTGTAAGACACAGATGAAGCTGTCTCCTCCCATAAAGATTTATAGCTCAGAAACCTAAGGAGCAGTTTTCAGTCCTACAATGTCACCAAGAGTCCTGGTGTGGCACTGTAGAATAAGCACTGGAACACAAGCTCAGTTTGAACCACAAGTTCAAATCCACCAGCCACTCCTGTATAGGAAACACTATGCAGGGTCGCTATGAGTCGGAATCAACTCAATGGCAGTGGGTTTGAGTTTTTTGGATTTGGTGGGCCCCAAGTGGTATCAATGGTTTGTGCTTGACTACTAAAATAAAGGTTGATGGTTGGAACCCACCCAGTGGTGCCATGAAAGGTCTAGTACTCTGCTTCTGTAAGGAGTACAGACTATTGTTGTTAAGTGTCATAGAATCATAGAGACCTGTATAGGATTTCTGAGGAGCAGATGGTGAATTTGAACTACCAACCTTGTGATTCAAAGCAACCTTGTAGTCCAGTGCCTATCCTTCAGCACCACACCAGGACCCCAAGGAGTACAGACTAGAACCCCTGGTGGGGTCCTACTCTGTAACACCTGTTCTACTCTGTAACACCCAGGGTAGGTCACCATGATATGGAAGTCACTCAACAACAATGGATTTTATATTTTGTGTGGTTAATAATGAAGTCCCAACATGATGAAACAGCTAAGTGCTTGGCTACTAACAGAGATTGGAGGTTCAAATCCATTCAGCAACACCTGAGAAGAAAGGCCTTGCAATCTACTTCCAAAAGCTCACAGTCATTGAAAATCCTGAGGAGCACAGTTCAGCCTGAAATAGCAAGTAATTACATTAACTGGGTTTTGGAGATGAAGGAGACAAAGGAATTACAAATAATTCCCAGGCTTCTGGGAATTGTGTAAATAATTCGCTGCAAGAGTAAAATGTACAGGCAGGTAAAATTAAGGGTCGGTAAAAGAGAAAAGCAAGCTCCTTGAGGGAAGGGGACTTTGTGTTGCTCACTCATGCCACCCAGGTGTCTAGAACAGTGCCTCGTACCTAGTATGCACCTAACATATACATATTTGTAGAATGAAGTACTCTGCCTTACTATGAACCTCCTTTCTGAATTAAAGAGCATGACTTCTTTAGTATTTTCTTATTTATTGAACATTTTATTGTGTTTTAGAGGAAAGCTCGCAGATTTGCTTCTCATTCAATAATTCATACACAGATTATCCTGTGACACTGCTCACTGTCCTCTCAGTGGGTCACACTCGTGCCATTCTACCCTGCCTTCCCAGCTCCCTCTCTCCACTTTCCCTGCCCCTCCTTGCTACTCTTTGCTTTTGGACAAACGTTGCCTGCTTGGGTGTGTATAGTTTGTTGTTCTAAGGAGTGCATTCTTCCTGGTGTTGTTTACTTTATAGATCAGTTGAGCCAAAAGGTGATTCTGGGAAGTGGCTCTTTAATTCAAATTTCTCATGTAAGAACTTATCCCCTCAGCAGTGATACCTGGGGTGGAGACAGAGACGTTGATATGGGGAAATGGAGCAGCTGGAGACTTTGGACCTGGAGAAAGAGAGGGGCGGTATGTGGACAACAGGGGGGCAGGCTTGCGGGGTATACCCTTTGGTTGATGGATGATGCATGGAAGGGATTGTAACCATGGCAAGGAAACAATATACGAAGGAATCAATGTGAAACTGATATCCTCCCATGTAAACTATCACATAATTCACAAAAAAGCATTAAAAAAAAAAAAAAAAAAAGAACATACCCCCTCAAAAGAGTCTAAAATTTGGCTTGATTACAAAAATATCTAATAACATTGCTATTTTTACAGAAAAAAAGGGTGGAGGGGACATGATTTAAATGGCCACTAATTAATCAAATAAATAACAATACAAATTAGTATTGTGCTGGTCTGTACTATACTACATTAAAAACATTTTTAAAAACATTTAATGATGCTGGTTGGATATTCCCTACAAACGTATATAAAGAATGTAAATGATACTCACCCTTGGAATAACGTAGGGTAGGTAAATTTCAAGACAGACAGAACATACTGAAAAACAAATAACAAATTAATGGGCATTTCAAATAATAGAGAACTGATAGATTATCAAAGAACTTCTATTGCAGAAGGATCTAAGTACACATAACACTCAAAAGGTCTTTGCTGTTTTTGATGTTAGAGTCCATTCAAATTCATAATAGTTCCATGTGTGTCAAAGTCGAAGTGCTCCATAGTTTTCAATGACTGTGACCTTTCAAAGCAGATCTGTCTTCTCAGGTGCCTCTGTGTGGGTTCAAACCACCAGCCCTTCAGCTGGTAATCAAGCATTTAGCCGTTAGTGCCATTCAGAGATTCCTAAACAGGCCTTTACTCCTCCCAAAAAAAATCACCCACAAAGGAAATCAATGACCAAGCTAAAGAGAGTAAGTTGCTTCTCCCCAGGGCCACTAGAGCCTCACAACTTTACTGAGGAATGAAAGCCAACCCAATGAATATACAGAAGCACAGAGCTGGGTCCAATGTCGTGGACCAAAGACTCAGCATCTTTTCAGGGTCACCACGTTGTAGCTGCAGCAGCTCCAGAGAAAACTGGACAAACCCTGGATGCAGTCTGTCTTCTCAGTGCTGTCCACTGCATCTGTTGCCCAGTTCACCGTTCTGTTTGCTCTTTGCATTCGGAGGATTGTTTTCCTAACCAATTCAGCTTGAATGTCTTATGTTTATTTCCATACTTTAGCATTTTAAGAACTTTTTCCAACCAGTTCAGCTAAGTATTTCTATGATGTATTTTGAACAAAGTCACAACACTTTATAAATGGGGATTTGCAGAGGGCCCTTCTAGATAGCCTTTTCAAAATATTTTCTCAAATTTTTTTTTAATTAAAAAAAATTTAACTATAATTTTAGGCAAGTACTATACTGATTCTTCACAGGATCCAAAAAAATGTAGTGGACCGGTGTTGGGCAAGTTTACAAATCTTTCTTTCTTTTTTTTCCTGTGGGTCAGCATTTCCTAGTATGAGTTTTGAATGCAACAAATATGGCTAATTATCTGTGTTCCATTCTATATTATTCAAAAGTAGATTTCCATTCTTCTCTGAAGTCTGTTTAGCTACACAATTCATTGTGCCTCTCCCTGATTTTCTCTGATTAAAATGGAGAATGAGAAAGGACTAAGGGAGTATGTGGGTCATGCCCAGAACCACTCTTCCGAACTTACACTAAGATTGTTGTTGTTATGTGCCATCAAATCGGATCCGACTCATCATGACCATGTATAGGGTTTCCAAGAAGCAGGTGGTGGATTTGAACTGCCAACCTTTCAGTTAGAAGACCAGTGCTTATCCTACAGCGTTTAGATTTGTTGTTGTTGTTGTTGTTAAGTGCCGTCGAGTCGGTTCCGACCCATAGTGACCCTGTACAGGGTTTCCAAGGCTGTAAATCTTTACGGGAGCAGAAAGCCTCATCTTTCTCCCGCGGAACAGCTAGTAGTTTCAAACTGCTAACCTTGCGGTTCGCAGCCCGATTCGTAACCACTACACTACCAGAGTGCCATCAAATCAGTTCTGATGCACAGTGACCCCGTATAGGGAGTGGCTAGTGGGTTTGAACTGCTGAACGTTCAGTTAGCAGTCGAGCTCTAAGTGACTGCACCCCCATAGCGCCTAGGAACCTTTGAAAGGAGAACATAAGCTGACTTTGCCTCCAGACTAACAGCTGAAGATCTATGAGAAGAAGAAGGCAAGGCAGCTTCTGTACCCCAGGCTACGGCTGGTGTCTCTCACAGGCCCAAGAACCTAGGGCCCAGGCTCTGCTACCAGCACCAGACAGAGCTGATAAAGCCAGAACTCAAGAGTAAGGTGGTTTCTCCTACCTCTTTACCTAACACAGCTTCCTTTGACACTCACTTCCTGCTTCAGGCTTCCAAGAAAAATCATTCATTCATTTAAGCAGTAGAAGAAATGGGCCTGAGATGCACAAAATTAAACAAAATAAGAATTTCCTTTCTAGAAATAAGAAAAACGTTCAGGAGAAAATGATACTAATAAATATGGAACAAGGGAAGTATCACAGTCTTTCAAAGAGTGAAGAGAGAACACCCTCTTTTCTAGACAAAAAACCTTCACTGACTCAAAAGAAAATTAATTTGGCAATGATTAGATTCAAGAGAATACATTCATGGCATGTCTCCCACAAAGGGCTCTTCGTATTTGGCCTCTCAGGTGCCACCATGGGGCAGCAGTAGAACCCAGCCTTGGCAGCACTAAGGAAGTATGACTGTCTTGGCTGAGAAGATGGATCACTGACAATGTAAGGTTCGAGCATCTAAGAGTTACAAGGTTCCTCCCCAGAGGTCCCTTACGAACAACCGTCTACCTGGGCCTCGCATCTCTTCACCACCCGACTGTACCTCCATCTCCCCTTCTCTTCTGCCTTCTGCTGCTATTAGTTCACCTTCTATCTACTGCTGACATTGCCCAACCGTCCTCAGCCAAATAATCATGCAAAATGTTTGAATTCTGAAAGTCTATGGGAACCTATGGGAATGTGGTGGCTCTGGAGAATAAGCCCAAGACTGCAAACCTCAAGGTGGCCGGTTTGAGCCCACCAACTGCTCCAAGGGACAAAGATGAGACTTTTTGCTTCCATAAAGATTTACAGCCTTGGAAACCCTACACTGGGTTGCTATAAGTCGGAACCAACTCCATAGCACTTAACAACATGGGAATCTACGGTTTCTATAATTTAGCTTACATGTTCCTGGGGAAGTGGCAATTTAATTTAATTTTATCTAGCTTCATGAGTTGCTACTCCTCTGTCAGTTTGTCACATTGTAGTGGCTTGCATGTTGCAATGAAGTTGGGAGCTATGCAACCAGAATTCCAAATACCAACAAGAGTCACTCAGGGTGGACAGGCTTCAGTGAAGCCTTCCAGATAAAACCTGACTAGGAGGACAGGCCACGCGATCTACTTGGAACAATCAGACCATGAAAACTGTGTGGATCCCAACAGAATCGTACCCAGTGTAGTGCTGGAAGAAGAGCCCCCAGGCTTGAAGGGAACTCAAAATACACAGTGACTAAAACCATGCACTCAAGCATACCAAAGCTCATGAAAACAGTGCAGGTGCCAGCAACAGTTCATTCTACAACTGTTACACAACAGCTACTAACAGGCACTTTGGTACATATAAAATGCCTTGGTGCTCCAACAGATACACACGTAATACCACAAATGCAAGCACGAATCCAGAGGAGATATAAATATCTACCAACTAAATGCTTGCTGGGGTTTTTGTTTTGTTTTGTTTTGTTTTTTGCTTAGATACACCATTTGTTTTTATTTGCTTGTTTGTTTATCTGGAGTTTTTTCTTCCTGGTCAATGGTTTGGCCTATGGGCTTTCAAAAGACATTATTTTGCACCTTCTGAAGAATATATGGAAAGAAAAAGCAGGCCATTATGTTTTAACGCAAAACATTATCAATATATCCATCTGGTTAGCTAAACAAATTAGAAACATCATATTTCACAAACTTACATACTCCTGAGTTGGTGTAGCAAAAGACGATTCTATTTTCTTTTAGTTTAGCTATCTGTTAAGAGCTGATTACTGCGGCATACAATACGCAAAAGATTCTTCTTTTATCCCAGAGTGACCATCACTTACCTTACTGAACATTCATAAGCACAGCATTGGGCACCTTATAAACATGATTGCAATCAATCCTCACAGGACCTCTCTGAAGAGGGCTTTTGATCCCATTTTATAGATTATAAAACCTAGATTTAGAGAGATTTAGGTACCCAAACCAAATGGATGACACTGGGATACAAACCCATCACAGTCTCCCAGCAAAGCTGTATTAATGGATCTTCAAAGCCCCATCATCAGAACTAACTTCCATGGAAGGAGAGGGAAGGCTCAGGAGCATACTCATAATTCACAGAGGACAGCCACTAACTAACACTAAGAGGCAAGTACAAAAAATGCTTTTAACAGTTCTTGGCAGGAAAGTGGAGAAGGGCAGTCAAGGCTCCACAGTCGGGGGAAGGTGATCCTAGACAGAATCAACATTGGACAATGGTCCACCCAGGCTGACAGGCACCAGCATTTTCCTGCAGGGTACCAAACACAAGGTCAGCTTTTCCCTCCTAACAAAGAAAAAAACCACCACCACCAACTCCAATTTACTAGTGATTCCCCATCTGCTTTCAGAAAGCACCACCTGCTTTCTTGTTGTTGTTGTCAGGTGCCATCGAGTCGGAACCGACTCATAGCGACCCCATGCACAGCAGAACGAAACAATGATCGATCCTGGGCCAACCTCACCACCGCTGCCACCCCCGAGTCCATCAATGATGCCACCTGGCCAATCCATCTCGTTGGAGGTCTTCCTCTTTTTCTCTGACCCTCCACCCTACCCAGCATGACATCCTTCTCCAACGATTGTTTCCTCCGGACTACATGTCCAAAGTAGGAGAGACGAAGCTTAGCCATCCTGGCCTCCAAGGAACACTCTGGCTGCACTTCTTCCAAAACAGATCTATTGGTTCTTTTGGCAGTCCATGGCACCCTCAGTATTCTCCTCCAACACCACAACTCAAAGGCATCAATTTTTCTACGATCCTCCTTATTCACTGTCCAGCTTTCGCACCCATATGAGGCTATTGAAAACACAATGGCCTGGGTCAGGCGCACCCTAGTCCTCAAGCTGACATCTCTACCTGCTTTCTACCTTCTCCTAAAAAGGTTTTATGACAATATTTTCTATTTAAAATGAAAATTTCATTTTACTTTTCAAGAGAATTCCATTAAAAACTTTTAGACATGCTGGAAGTGCTTGTAATGGGAATATATTAAGTATAATTTGGGGATATTCTTTGATGGTTACAAGGGGTGGAAAGGAAGAGAGAGAAATTCACTGGGTAGAGGGTAGATGCATGTTGACTTGGGTGACAGAAAACACAACATTAGGCTGAAGGCTAATGAAGACAGGTGAAGACACAGGAAGGAATGCAAAGCTTGAAGGGGATAGAGTTAAATACTATTATATATACAACCCTGCAACAACAGTGTTCTGTGGGTAGATACATGGACACAGGCTGAATGGGTATAGGATAGTAAGAATATACCCACAAATATGCAAGGGTTTGAAAGAGGGTATTTGTACATGGGTATTTACCTTTGCTGCAAACACACCTATGAATGTGGTATAGCATACAGGGGGCAAAACAATGAAAACTTCTTAGACATTACCAAACACCTTGAGGCAACAAGTTTCTGGGCCTGGGGGCTCAAGACCATAGTCTCAGGGCACAACATGGCCAACTGACATAACATAGTTCACAAAGACAATGTTCTACATCCTACTTTTGTGAGTAGCAACTGGGATCTTAAAAGCTCATGATCAGCCATCTGAGGTACAGCTATTGGTCTTTCCATATGCAGAAAAAAGAATTATGAAAATTGAAGATGCTTGGACTCAACTAGGCCAATAGAGTCATGGAACATGTGAACATCAGTCTCCATGGCTTTGAAACGAAAAGAACTAGATGGTACCTGGCTATCACTACCATCTGCTTTGAAAGAGATCACATTAGAAGGTCCCAGCTAAGAGTAGAAGAAAATGTGGAACAAAACTCAAAATTATATATACATATATATATATATGTATGTATATATAAAAGACCTGGCTTACTAGTCAGAAAGAGACTGGAGGAACCCCAGATTAATGGCCCTCAGCCACCTGTCAGGTCTGGGACAGAACTTATTTTGTTGTTAAGTATCGTGGAGTCGGTTCCGACTCCTAGTGACCCTGTACAGGGTTTCCGAGGCTGTAAATCTTTACGGAAGCAGAAAGCCTCATCTTTCTCTCACGGAACAGCTGGTAGTTTCGAACTGCTGACCTTGCGGTTGGCAACCCGACTCGTAACCACTACGCTACCAGAGCTCCTTGAACTTACTTTAGTCACCCAATTTTTAACTACTCTGTAGATAGGTATATAGGGGGGTAACAGCACTAGTAAATTATGTTCACCACAGAATGGTCAACAATTCAAGATCAAAAGAGGAACATTTACATAAGGACAAAGTTCAGAAGGGATGGGAAGGAGGGTGGAATGGAAATAAGAACCACAGGGAGGAAGTGGGATTAACTGTTGTTACCTGGAGGGGATTGTAATCATTGAAGTGCAGTGATTTGTTGAACGTAAAACTGATCATCTGCTTTGCACACCTTCACTCAATTCACAACAAAACAATTTTGTTGTTTATTCTAAATTGGTTTGGGAGTCAGTGGTGTGGGGGTGATGGGGTAATCTCCATTTAAAGGTTTCTGGAACCTAATGGGATCCTGGGGTGGGGTCGTGGCTAGAAAAGGCAGCAAGATGTGACTGATATCTTCTTCAACTACTCTTGTGTCCGGAAAGAACTGAAGCCAACTATCTTCTTTCCCTTAAAGTAGTCCGCACAGTCCCAAAGGAAGTTCACTGGAATTCGCCAGTCAAAATAGCCAGTTTGCCAGGTGATGTACAAGATGGTTTACAGGACAAGAAGCAATCCAACAAATCTGATACCTAAAGCACAGGGGCGGTTTCTTCACCACCACCAGGAAAAGATAACTGCTGGAGGCTGCGCTTGTACACGTATATCAGACTCACATCACCCGTGTGCCATCATCACCTCCCCGCGCCCGCACCCCTCACCTTGTTCGTGAGGTAAGAAGCCAGGAAGCAAGCACAAAAGGTGAAGCCGACCAGGGACCTCCTGAAACACATCTGTCAACTTGCTCCCCTTCCCCTGGAGAAGCCGCGCCCACCCAGGCAAGCCCCACTGCCACCCGAGCTCCACCAGGACCTCGGAAATCACGTGGCTCAGAACTCCACCAATCAGAGAGGGGATCACCCCGTGCGCCTGCCTCCTTAAAGGGGCCTGCGCTTCCCAGTGCCTGCATACCCACTATGGGTGCTGCAGGCTCTGACCCAGCAGGCCGAATGACTGGGAGAAACATTGGGAGACAGAGGTAGTGGTGGTTGTGTACTGTGGAACTGGCTCCAACTAGCGACTCTGTACAGGGTTTCCAAGGCTGTAAATCTTTACAGGAGTAGAAAGCCTAGTTTTTCTCCCAAGGAGTCCCTGGTGGATTTCAGCTGCAGTTAGCAACACAATGCTAACGCACTACACCACTGTTCTACTCCTTGCCTACAGAGGAAGGTGGAAAAATAGCTGTTGTCTTTGGAACTGATAGAAGAGAAAGAAAGTAGTTTATAAAATATATCGCAATATCCCATTACTGTTTAAAGAAAATTTTTAATAGTTATCTGTAGATGGTGAACCAAATGTAAGTTTTACACTGAATCTCTATTAATTTTGCAATCACACAACAAAGTGAACAATAACCATACAACTGATTATTTGCACCACCCAGCCTCCTAATCTTAATGACCTCCCTGCCCACCCCTCAAAACAGAAATGATGATTGTAAAGAGCCATGGGTGTTTGGGTGGTATAAATGATTAAGCACTCAACTACTAGCCTAAAGAGTGGAAGTTCAAACCCACCCAAAGGCACTTTGGTGGTGTTCTGTCACCGCCTTGAAACTTCTGTGGAGCACAGCTCTTCTCTACACACATGGGATTACCATAAATCAGACTAGCTGGGCTCTATAGCAAATGACAAGTCATATAAATATAGTACAGTTGTTGTTAGGTGTTCTCAAGTCGCTATTGACTCTGGCTGCACTTCTTCCAACACAGATTTGTTTGTTCTTTTGGCAGTCCAATACCATAACTCAAATGCTTCAATTCTTGTACTATCTTCCTTATTCACTGGTTGATTCGAGCAAAATGAAGTCTCTGACAACTTCAATCTTTTCTCCATTTATCTTGATGTTGTTTATTAATCCATTTGTGGGGATTTTTGTTTTCTTTACATTGAGGTGCAACCCATACTGAAGGCTGTGTTCTTTGCTCTTCATCAGTATTTTAAAGTCCTCTCTGATCTCAGCAAGCAACCTGCATATTACAGGCTGTTAGTGAGTCTTCCTCCAATGCTGATGCCAAGTTCTTCTTCCTATAATCCAGCTTCTTGAATTATTTGTTCAGCATACAGATTGGATAAGTATGATGAAAGAATACAATCCTGGTGCACACCTTTCCTAATTTTAAACCATTCAATGTCCCCTTCTTGCTTGAATGACTGCCTCTTGGTCTATGTATAGATTCCTCATGAGCACAATTAAGTGTTCAGAATACTCATTCTCTGCAATGCTGTCCATAGCTTGCCATGATCTACACAATTGATGGATAAAATAGATGTATAAAATAAAATTAATAGCCTTTTTCCATGTTCCATCATTATCCAAGTAGCCAATGTTCATAAGTGAATATATCCCCTTTGCCTTCCTCTAAGGCACCCTGGACACAGTGGGTTAGGAGTTGGCCTGCTAACTGAAAGTCAGCAGTTCGAACCCACCAGCATCTCTAAGAGTCTGAATCCACTGGATGGCAGTAGATTTGCTTTGCTCTATAGTCGTAGATCCATATATACTCATTCATAGGTTATTGTCTTACAAAAATGGATCTAACGATGAAACTTTTTAAACTGCAGGTCAACACATTTAGTTTTTATTTTAATCTGCAGCAATTCCACAGTTTCCTATGCATCATTCAGTATGTCTCCTGTTGATGTAATTCCACGTTGTTTCTAGTATTTTAGTAAAACAAACACGGGTCCAAGTGCCTAGATCTTTATCTAATGCTGCTTTCCCCACCTCCTTGTAGAATAAATTCCCAAAAAAAGGATTGTAAAACCACACAGTAAATTTATTATTATTATTAATCAATTCAGTCAGATTATTGTCCACTTCCCTTTGCTTTCTGCCTGTGGGAATCCCATTTAACATTCAAAGTCCAGGTCTTGTCAGAGCTCCTCAGGTAGAAATGTATTCACCCCTTTTTCACCCATAACAATCAACTGGTTGCCTGTGAGTCAATTCTAACTCCTAACAGCCCTATACGACAGAGTAGAACTGCTCCATAGTGTTTCCAAGACTGTAACCTGTTTTTCTTCATTGTTAACTTTTTATTGTGAATTAGGTAAAAGTTACAGTTCATCAGTTTTACATTCAATGATTCATACACATTTTATTTCATCTCAATGATTACAAAGCTCCCAATGTAACATCGCTTATTCCACACCACTTCCTCCTTTTCTGTTTCCATTCCTTCTTCTTCCCTACCCCATTCCAACTTTGTCTTTAGGTAAATGCTGCCCTTTTGATCTCAAATGGTTGATTATGTAAGGCATGCATACACTCTGTCTGTCTATGTGTCTGTCATACTGCAATGGCTTGCGTGTTGCTATGGTGCTTGAAGCTATGGCACTAATATACCAGCAGTCACCTATGGCAGATAGGTTTCCACTGAGCTTCCACTGAGGCAGACTAGGAAGGAAAGGTAGACTACTTGTAAAAGTTTAGCCATTAAAAGCCTTATGAATAACAGCAGAACACTGTCAGATTTACTACCAGAAGAGGAGCCCCTCAGATTGGAAGGCACTCAAAATACAACCGGGGAAGAGTTGCCTCTCCAAAGTAGAGTTGACAGTGATAACACGAATAGAGTAAAACTTTTGGGACCTTTGTTTGCTGATGGTGTACAACTCAAAATGAAAGTGAAACCGTTGCAAACATCCATTAATAATTGGAACATGGGATTTATGAAGTATGAATCTAGGAAAATTGGAAGTTGTCAAAATGATATGGAATGCATAAAGACTGCAATCCTAATGCAAAAATATTTGGCACCAATCATTCCTCCCACAGTCCTTTCTATTCAGCTGAGTTTGATAATTCATTGCACTGGTCACATAGGACACAGACATCATACTCAGGGTTATAGGGCATGGTAGGGAAGCTATCAGGTTACAATTTGGGGTGATAAATATTCAGGGCACAGTTGTTCCAGTCATTGGTTCATAAATGTTCACAGGACACACCATTTCACCAACAGCTTCACCCTAAAAGTACTTAGTTCCAGCTCTGTAGATTAGCAAACCTAGCTCCCCTCTTATGTACCTGGATGCACCCCACTCTACAATCAAGCTTCCTGCCCAAAGTCACTCAGCTTTACCTATGCTATGGGCTAGGAAGTTCACTGCTCTGTCTTGTTCTCTGTTTCTTGGCTCTGCTGCTGCTTCTCTTCCACTCCTGCCACATCACAGCTTTCTGTCCCTAGTGTCAATGCAAAAGGATTTCAGGGTCCAAAGGACCTGCTCCAATCCTAGTAGTAAGATTTCACCCCCTCCTACTCTTGAAATGGCTCATTTTTATGAGTTATCATGCTAGACTTTAAAGTTTTTACAATTAAAATTAACTATGCCATCATCCACGGTTGAATCATGCCATCCTATCAGCATCTTCTCCGCCTATCTTCCCAGTCCCAGCAGGGCAGAAACATTATTTGAGGGGAGTTGTGGACTATGGCTAGAAGAAACATCAGATAATTTGCTACACCACAACTAGACATTAATAAGCTGAAATGGACTGGAAATGATCATTTTAAATCTGACAATCACATGGTTGATTATGCCTGGAACCACAAATTAAAGTGAAAAGGTGTCATGTTCATCATCAGAAAGAACATCTCAAGATTCATCTGGAAGTACAATGCTGTCTGTGATAGGATAATAGTCATATACCAATAAGGAAGACCAGTTAATACCAGTATTATTCAAATTTATGCACCAACCACTAAAGCCAATGATGATTAAATTGAAGAATTCTACCAACTTCTTCAGTTTGAAATTGATCGAACATGCAATCAAGACAAAGAAAAGGAACAGTAGTTGGAAAACATGGACTTGATGACAGAAATGGTGCTGGAGATTACAGGGTAGAATTTTGCGGGAGCAGAGATTTATTCATTACAAATACCTTTGTAAACAACATAAAAGGCAATTGACTATACACAAGAACCTCACCAGATGGAATACACAGTAATCAAATTGACTACATCTGTGGGAAGAGATAGTGAAAAATCTCAATATCATCAGCCAAAACAAGACCAAGGGCAGATTATAGAACAGACTATCAATTGCTCATATGCAAATTCAGGCTGAGGAGAAGAGAATTAAAACAAGTCCATGAGTGTCAAAATATGACCTTGACCACATTCCACTTCAATTTAGAGGTCATCTCATGAACATTATTAGACACTAATAACAGAAGACTGGATGAGTTGTTGGATGACATTAAGAACATCATATAGGAAGAAAGCAAAAAATCATTAAAAAGACAGGAACAATAGAAAAGAACAAGTTGGATGTCAGACAAAACTTTGAAACTTGCTCTTGAGCATAGAAAAGCTAAAGTGAATGGAAGAAATGAGGAAATCAAAGAGCTGAACAGAAATTTTCAAAGGGCAGCTCAAGAAGACAAAAATCAAGTATTATAATGAAATGCGCTAAGACCTGGAGTTAGAAAACCAAACTGAAGGAAAAATTCAAGCCTCGACTTGCCATACTGAAGGCAAGTTTTTAAATGAGGCAAAAAGTATCAAAACAAGATGGCAGGCGCACAGCTTGTAGATGAACCATTTCAAGAGGTAGCCTATGTTCAAGAGTCAATGATACTGAAGGAAGAAGTCCAAGGTACACTGAAGACATTGGTAAAAACAAGACTCCATGAATTGACAGAATGCAAAATGTAATCTTTCAACCTACTGATGCAGCTCTGGAAGCCTCACTCATCATTCTTCAAGATTGCATAGTATTCCATTATGTTTATGTATCAAAGTTTATTTATCCATTCTTCCATTGATGGGCATTTAGGCTGTCACTATCTTTTTGCTATTTTAAATAGTGCTGGGATGAATTTCTTGTGGATATAAACTAAGTAGAGTTATCCAGTCACTTTTTTTAAGACTGTTGCTACAAAATACAGAATCAAAACGTTGTTGTTGTTGTCGACGTTGGAGTCGGTATGTTGTTGTAGTTAAGTACCGTGGAATCGGTTCCGACTCAGCGACCCTGCACAGGGTTTCCAAAGCTGTAAATCTTTACCGGAGCAGAAAGCCTCATCTTTCTCCCGAAAACGGCTGGTAGTTTCGAACTGCCGACCTTGAGGTTAACAGCCCAATTCGTAACCACTACTACCAGAGCTCCTTGTGGAGTCGGTATGTTGTTGTTGTTGTTGTTAAGTGCCGTCGAGTCGGTTCCGACCCATAGCGACCCTGTACAGGGTTTCCGAGGCTGTAAATCTTTACGGGAGCAGAAAGCCTCGTCTTTCTCCCGCGGAACAGCTGGTAGTTTCGAACTGCTGACCATGCGGTTTGCAGCCTGATTCGTAACCACTGGAGTCGGTATAGAACCTGATTTTTGCTCAGTGTTACATTTTACAATATTCACACTCACTGCCCTGCCCCTAAACAACTGCAATAATTACAAAAACCGGTCAGTCCTATCTCTAAACTTGCCATTTTATGTCTCTGTTAATTTCTCAGTCTAGATTTATGAAAGAACAAACCTCGCTTGTTTATTTACAACCCACAGGATAATCTAGTTTGGCAACAACCATTGCTATCTAGGGCTGCTGGGGAAGAAGAAAGAAGGCGATGCAGGGACAGGACAGAGCCAGCGCCAGGAGAGGTCACCCACAGACCCTGCCCTGCCTCCTAAGGGTGTTCAGGTCTACAGTTGGCAAGGACTTGGAGGTGTGGCCACAATCTGCCGCAATACCCCAGCGGGCAGCGGCCGGAAGTGCGGCTAGCCGTGGGGCGGGGAAAGGTGACTTAGCGAGGGCCGGACGGCCAATGGAAAGCAACTGCCCCACCCGTGAGGGCGGAAGAGAAGAGGTTAGTTCCGGACGCGGCCGCTGTCGGCGCCATCTGTCACCTCCGCTCCGGCGCCAGCAGCCTCTCCCCCTTCTGCTCAGCTGCTTGTCTCCTGCTTGGTGTAGCTCCCTCTCTACCCTGTTCGTGTTGCTGGCTCCTTTCCCCACATGGATCTAGTCGGAGTGGCATCTCCTGAACCCCGGCCGGCAGCAGCTTGGGAACCCAGCAAGGTGAGTGGCGGACGGGGCTGACGTACCTGCCTGAGTCACCTGAACTGCTGCTTTCTCTGAAGGCCTGGCATTCGCGGAGGCGGCTGTGGCAGTTCCGGGGGGAGACCCTGGTCACCTCGGAAAGGGCTGAAGAGGCCTTTGGGCTGCCGGGGGCGGTTGGGAAGAGCTGAGCAGGGCCTCCACTCTGGAGGTTTTAAATCTCGCTTTAGCTCTACGTTTTGCTTTCTGGATCTCTCTAAAGTATACTGAGTAGGACTCGCTTACCGACGACGTTTAAAGAAAAGCAAGCCTGACTTGGGTTTTTTTTCACAGACCAAGTGAGTCATACCCAGTAAATAGCAGAGTTGATTTAAGAAGCTGTTACCTGAAATTGACAAGTAATGTTAATCTAATCCGATAATTGCTTGTTTTTGAAGTATGAAAGATAAAACCAGGCACACCCAACTCCCTGCCCCCACGCAAATTCTCAGTCCCTGACAGTGCTTTAATGTTTAAACTTTTTCTTAAAATGACAAGGGAAAAACGTTGATTTCCACTTTTGATTTGTGGTTTTCAGGCTCCGCCTTGTTTACAATACTTTCATTAGAAGGATGAAAAGACTCCTCTGCCACTTTACTGAGTTTGCTTGAGAGCAAGAGCATCTTGAAGGCTTCAAACGTTTTTGCCTTCATAATTGTTCTTAACACAGACGTTTGTTCTCTTTAAAAAGCCACGTGTTAATCTTGTTGGCTCTTCAGGCTAGAGGGAAAATACTGGCAAATAAGTAAAGTAAAATCAATTTTATAAAAGTTTTGTGACAACTGTAGAGAGAATCTGAAGTATCTCACTGGTAAATTTATTTACATGTGATTTTGTGTATCTAGTCTCCTAATACCCTAATTAAAAGGTCAAGATCAGTACACATATGACTGGTACTAAGCAAAATACACTCTTCATGTTCAATTCTATCTCTAAAGGCTGGGGGAAATGCCAAATGAGACCAACTCTTTTCAGAATACATTTTAGCTTCAGAGCACATTTCACTTACAAAATTAAATGACTAATTTACTAAATTATCAGTAATAGTCCAATTTAATGTATGTCAACAGAACTTTAAATTTTCATTTTCCTTATTCAGTCAAACATTACCCTAAAGTGTGTAGATGTCCTATTGGGAAGACGTTTTGACAGGCAAAAGAACAGAGGCCACAGGTATCACTTAATCCTTCCTCCTTTGAGCTCAGTGGAAGCCAGGAGATGAGAGAATCCTGCGTGGAGTAGGTGAAGAGTTGAGAAGGGTTTAAAAAATATTACAGGTTATCGGTTCTCAAATAATTTGGACTTTGGAGTTCTTTGCATTTCAAAATTATTGAGGACCCAAAGAACTTTTGCTTATGAAGGTTATGTATTTGTCATTTGTCACATGTTTATGCCAAAAAAAATTTTTTTTAATAAAATGAGTGAAGAGAGTAGTAGTGTAATCTTACATTTTCACAACTTTTTTTTTTTTTTTTAATCTCTAGCATAATAGGAAAGAGCTGATTCTGATATCTGGTTGAAGTAGATGAAAAAATGCATTCTCACTATTCTGACTCATAGTGACTCTTAGGACAAAGTAGAATTGTCCCACAAGGTTTCCAAAGCTAAATCTTTATAGAAGCAGACCGCCACATTTTTTCTTCCATGAAGTTCCAACTGCCAGCTTCCATGGTTGCAGCCAAGAACTTAACCACTGTGCCACCAGGGCTCCATGTAGATTATTACAGGTATAATTTAAAATGGTTAGTAAGAGTATGATAGAAGTACTGAGAACAAACTGAGTCTCCAAAAATGCGTATATTTATATCTTAAATAAGCATGCATTCTATTTACCATCAGAGTGATGATGTCATCACGTTATGGAGTCTCTGGAAAACTCCATTCTATCTCCTGAGAGAATAAGAGTGGAAAGGGCAGATAATGCCTTAGTGGTGTGGTGGTGTGCTGTTGGTTCCACCTCACAGTGACTATATAGCGTTTCCAAGATTGTCTATCTTTATGGGAGCAGAAAGTCTCATCTACTCTAGTGGAGTAGCTGGTTAATTTGAACTGCTGACCTTGTGGTTAGCAACCCAGTGTATACTCCACTACTCAACCAGGGCTCCTCAGTGTCTTGGTTGTTGTTATTAAGTGCCTTCAAGTCGGTTCCGACCTAGAGCGACCCTGCATAGGGTTTCCAAGGAGTGGCTGGTGAGCTTGCACTGCCAATCTGTGGTTCAAAGGACTTTGCAGTCCAGCGCATTAACCCACAGTGCCACACCAGGATTCCTCAGTGTCTTAGTACTGTTATGAAACTATTTTTGACCTTAAAGCTCCTGAAAGGTTTTTAGAGACCAACCTTCTTGGGGTGCCAATAACAAACTGCAGAGCTTTTATTATGGGCAAAGAGTTTTATTGGATATTCCTTTTTTTTTTTTTTAACCAAACTCTTAAGTTTTATTGTGAATTGAGTGAAAGTTTACAGAGCAGATCATCAGTTTTACATTTAACAAATCATATACTTTTCACCAATAGTTAACAGCATTTACCACTGTTCACTTTAACCACTGCATTCCTCCCTGTGTCTCCTGCCACCCCCATCTGTCCTCTGACAACCTCCCTCTGGTTCTTTATTGCCTGCCCTGTCACCCATGTCAATGCATGTCTACCCTCTAGCGCATGTATCATTTCCTCCTGCCCCCTCCCCCAAAAACTGTCATAGATTGTTTCTTTTATTAAGACCCTCCTCCCCCTTTTTTTTCTTTGGTGTACCAAAAAACAAACAAACAAAAACGTGCAGGAATATATCATCTTTAAAAAACCAAAGGGCACATTCTGGAAGCCATCCTCCTAGCCATTAGCACACAGTCTTTCTCTTTCCATGAGTCTAGAGTCCTCAGCTGCTCCATGTCTCCATGCCATCACCTCTGCCTCCATCTCTGGTGTCACTGCTTCTCTGGTTAAGGTCCCAAGTTCTGCTCATGCTCTTCTCTCTTGATGGTCTTAGCGTCCTTTGTTACTACTCCCCCCTTTTTGTCACACAACTTCTACCTTTATAGTTGTGATAATCGCAATTAGGTATGATAACAATTACCTAATTGTTCATATCAATAACATAATTGATTCATATCAATTGTATGATTCAAATGAATCCTATACTTATCTCCTTTCACCAGATCCATCTAGACAAGATGAAACTATTCAGTGGGGATTCTACCTTCCCCCGCACACTCTGAAACTACCTCTTGAAAACTTGTAAGCCAGCCACTTTGTGCCTTTATAGCCCTGTTCTCCCCCCCCACCCCCCCCCACCCCCACACACACCATTTTTGGAAACCAAACTCTAAATTTTCTGTCTCTATGGCTCTGGTAGCGTAGTGGTTACGAATCGGGCTGCGAACCTTAAGGTCAGCAGTTCGAAACTACCAGCCGCTCCGC